CCGGCAATTCCCGGGACCTGCCCCTGCAACAAGTCACAAAGCTCACAAGTCACAGCCCCATGGGATTCCCTAGCCTACAATTCCCCATCTCACCTGCATGGGCCCTGTGTATGCTCACATGTGCCAGCGCCTGGCGACTTGCCCCCTTCCCCAGAGCAGCCGGGTTTCCCCTCGCCTTGATATTCTCTGCCACCTGAAATTGGTGGTAGAACTCCTTCAGCTCCTGTGAGAAGCCCTTGTCTGTGGCACCTTTGCACAGGGTGGAGATGGTCTGCAGGAACTGCATCTTCTGAGTCTCCTCCTGAGCAGTTGGGGGGCACAGACACAAACGGGCAGCGTGAGAAGGGGGACATGTGGCCAGCAGGCCTGGAGCACTGGGGCTGCAAAATCGGGGAGTTCGCGCCCTGCCCAGCCAGCACCCCCCAGTAGCCCTGGCACCAGAGCCGGTGGCCTCGTCAGGGGACGCAGGCAGTGCTTCCCTGGAAATGGCTGCAGTTACCTTCACTGGGCTCTCCAGACAGGCCTCGATGAAGTCCATGGGTGCTTCTTCCTCTATGTAGCCAGGCATCCAGCTGTATGCAGCAGAGGAGGCACCTGGCAGAGTTGGAGAGCAGAGAGGGCTGTAGAGAGGGGCTGAAGGCAAACACGAGGAGAGAAGGGAGCTCTGCCCTCTGTCCAGCCCTGTGCCTGCTCCCCTGGCTCAGTGTCCCCATGGGTGTCTGGGCTAGTGGGTGCCTCGCAGATGGGCTGCAATGCTGATCATGGCGTGGCACTGAAAGCCACCAGCCTTAGGAACTCACTTGCAAGCAGGCTGGAAAGATTCCGTCCTGCACCAGCGCTGGCCAGCTCCCTGTCAGGAGTCTCTTCCTGCCCGTATCCCAGAGCAGGAGCCAGGGCCCCTCTGTTGCAGATTATCCTAAGTTTTACCTCACCTTTCTATATTCTGTGTTTGCTTGTGAAACAGTTGGCTATAGGAACATCTTGTTTTAAGAAGTTAGCCTTTATGTTAGCATGGGTTGCTGTGCTGCTTGAAATCCGATGTTGCGTTGCTTCAAGTCCCTGTTCTCTGGAACATGTTAGACTTAGTCCTTACTCTCTAGACCATAACCAGAAGACCTAGGGTCTACTGTATATAGGATGATTCATTTGACAACCTGGCAAGGTAGCTACCAAGCTCACCAAATTGGCAACAAAACATGGTTAGGGTGTCCTCTAAATGAACTATCCTCTATATACTCTCATTATAATACTAAAAACAAACCCACAGATCAAGAAGACCCTTGCCCAGGTGAAGACCCTTCCTCTGCACAAGCTTATAACAGAAGAGAATGACAGAGCAGATATTACAATTACGTGCAAATCATGAACCAATCATCGTAACTGGGAGTGTACTACCTTGTAATTTTTGTGTAACTATGAAATGGGCATGGGGTGTGCTGGATTTGTGGGAATTCCACCTAGCACCCAGCGCTGCAATAAAGAAGTGTCTGCTTCTTAATGCTACATCGGTGCTCAGGAATTTCATTCTCCCAACTTTTGGTGACGGTTTTCGGAAACCCAGATGAGACCTTGTGAGTGAGGCTGGAAGAGATCAAGTGCTGATTGAACTCTGGCCGGCACCGAAAAATTCTTGGTGAGAAACGTTGCCCTCCACTCATAGAGCTCCTCCAACGTTCCCTTGAGAAAGGGGTAAGGCGCTTTGTTCAGAATTAGGTTTGGAAAGCCTGCCTGTAAGGTTCAGTGAAAGCTGCTCAGAGTTGAGGCCTAGGGAATACCCATTTGCATTTGGAAGCCTAGCCCTCTGCCCAGAAGTCAGAAGCGAAAGCTGTTGCTGGGTTGGACTTTGGGGTTTTTTTCTTGGCAAATACCTTTTGACTATTTTGTCATAATGGCATCAGGATTTGTAAAATTGTTGAAGAGTGAAAGTTCTGGAACTTAGAGGTATAATACTATTTTGCAGTTAATGTCGTTCTGTAGAAGAGAAGGTAAATGGAATAAAGGATTTGATTAAAAAAAACCCTCAACAAATAAAACACCAGAAGGCAAAAGACTAAAGCATGCATTATCAAGAGCTTTAATTTGGTCTAAATAGTATGAGGTAAAACAGGGTAAGAATGAATCTCCCTCAGCGTTCCTGGAAAAATTAAAGACTGCTAGAAAATATACTGATGTAAATTGGAAACCAAAGCAGAACAATTGGCTTTGATTTTTGTTGGACAATCAGCACCCAATATAAGAAGAAAACTCCAAAAGTCAGAGGGAGAGGATTCTAGAAATTTAAATAAAATGCTTGAAGTAGCATGGAAAGTTTGTAACAATCAAGAAAAGAAGAAGAACAAAGAAATGAAAACAAAGAAAAAGGGAGAGAGAGCAGACTAATAGCTCTTTTAACAGGGAATGTAGTAAAGGGAAGAGGACAAGCCAGAGGAAAAGGAGGTTTAGAAACTTTGGTGTCCAAAAACCTAATGCACCCCTAAGGATGGATGTTGCAGGGAAAAGTGGTCATTGGAAAAATGACTGCCCTAAACTACAGACAAGTAGGCAAGAAGCTGCAAAGATGATGACCCTAAGACAACTGAAAAGGGCAACAGGGCAACCCAATTGAGCCTCAGGTTATAATTAAGCTGGGAGATGATAAGGCTGGATTTTTAGTAGATACAGGCACAACATACTCTGTTCGGAATACTTGCAAAGGGAAATGAGGAAATAAAATGGCCAGTAGAATTGGAGTGATTGGGAAGCAAGAAAATAGGACAACCTTAAATTTGAAATTTGGAAATAAGGCAATTAGACACAAGTTTTTGTATGTGCCAGACTGTGCAATACCTTTGTTGGGGCAATATTTATTGTCCAAATTAAATGTGTAAATACTTTTTGAAAAAGAAATTATTTTAAAAATACTAGAATCAAAGACAGAGGAAGTATTGATGGAACAAGAGAAAGTTAAGGAACAAATAACACAGGAAGCAGATCAGGCTGTTATACCAATAGTCTGCAATACAGATATACCTGGCAAGTCAAAGACAGCACAACCTGTGAAAACAGGGTTGAAGGACAGGCAAAACCAGTAAGAATCAAGCAACATCCAATCAAGCCAGAGGTTAGACCAGGAATCAGGAAAGTTTGGGATTCTAGAAGAGTGTGAGTCCGAATATAATACTCCAACTTTACCAGTAAGGACACCTTCAGGTAAATATAGATTAGTTCAATATTTAAGGGCTATAAATCAAATACTTAAAGACATATACCCTGTAGTTGCAAATCCATATACACTTTCCACAGCACTGAGAGAGGATCAGCAGTGCTTTACAATGCTTGATTTAAAGGATGCTTTCTTTTGTATACCCCGGAGGAGGAAAGCAGAGAATTATTTGCTTTCAAGCGGGAGAATCCACAAACAGAAAGAAAGCCACAATTACCACGGGCAACATCGCCAC